TAAAAAAGCTTTAAAAAATATGCCGTTTATCCGACTCGAGCTTTAAGCTATCGATAATACGAGATTATAACAAATTTTTATAAGCAGTTAAGCAAAAGAGCGTCTCTTTAGCGGTATAAATTAAAGAACACCGAATTATTTATAAGTTAGCGAAAATGAATAACTTTTACGAGACGACGAGTACACTCGCGATAAAAGCATTTTTAAAAGCTATTAGCGAAAAATGATTATTAACTTAAGCGTCGCTAAAGCTCGCAAAGGTTATTCGAAACGACGAGCTATTATTACTTTAAAAGCGCACTTTTTACGACTACTTTAACTAGTACGAAAGCTAAGTCGAAAAAAAGACGAGCAATCCGAACTTTAACCTTTTTAATATATTCGTTACTTTCGAAGATTAAACGATTCGTAGCACTTCCGGAAGTAACAAAGCTAACGACATTGCTTTTAAGCAGTCTAGTAAACGCTCCGATAGTTTTAAAAGACTTGCTAAAGGTTTTAAATGCTCGTGCTTTAAAAAGAGAAATTATTAATAAGACGTAATCAAGTGCAAGATCTTTCGCTATTGCTTTAACGGTCTTAACGAAAATAGATTCGCAAAGCCGAATTAAGATAATATCGTCGTTATAAAAAAAAGGCTTTAAAAGCTTAAGTTTAAAGCGCTTTAAAAAAAGATCACGAAGAAAAGTTAAGCATAAATTCAAGTCGATAAGATCGTCTTAAAAAGCAAAGAAAAGCAATCGAACGATAGCGATAAGTTAAAATACTTTAAAAAAGTGTTAGCAGCTATTATCGATCTTAAGCTTTTTAGCACGCTCGATAATCTTGTCTTTGACGGTCTTTATAGCACGACTAACAATAAGCACTAGCTATTTAACAGCATTCTTTTCGATAATTACGGCGTTACTTACTTTATTAACGATAAAAATCTTTTAATGTTAAAGTCAATTTAACGCTTTCGCTTAACCGACTTTATCGAAGCTAAAACGAATAGTCTTTTAATCGTCGAGCGAAAGACTAAAGTCTTTAACAAAGCTTTGAACGGACTAAATAAAGCTAAGACGGAAGATTTAAAGTTAAAAAACGTCGCTATTATTAAAAGGTTTAATATTAATATTATTTCGGAAGCTTTTTTAAGCAAGGCTAGCGTATAATACTCGAGATATAACGCAACTCTTTGTTATAAAGAGGTTAAAGAAAGCGTCGTGTTAAGAAAGTTAAAAAGGAAGTTCAACTTTACGTTTTTTAAATACAAGCTATTTAATTATTCTTTGTTTTAATTGATTCGTAGCTCTCTTTGCTTAATAATGTTCTTTATAACTTAAAAGCGCTTGTAAATACGTTATAAATTTTAAAAGAACAGTGTTTTCCGAGCTTTAAAAAAAGATTCATCGATACTTTAGCATTTACGAACAGGTCATTTAAGCAAAGAAGCCTTCGAAGCGCTAGCTTATAACGTTAAAAAAGTGAGACTTAAAAAAATTATTAAAGTTGAATATGAAGCATATGCTATTACGCACGCTTAATAAGTTATATCTCGCTGCACGTTAAATAATAAAGCAGCTAAGCTATTTTACAAGATCGCTTAAGATCTATTCGATTTTCTTAACGGTTTTAACGAAAGCAAATGATTATTAATAATTAAAGATAAATATAATAAGAAGCTATTCGGTTTTATATTAAAAGATAAGTTATAATTAACGGTTATAAAGGTGCTAAAGGAATTTAAAGCATAGACGAGACGCAAATACGGTTTTTCAATAGTTATTATGCGTTATAATAACGATTCTTCGGTAATCGCAATTAACGTAATCGGCTTTATCGAATATTAAAAATAAGCGAAAGAGGTCGAGATCGAGTTAAAGCTCTTATTATCTTTTAATTACGAACTTAATAAAAGAGCTGAGAAAGCTAAGAAAGAAGTGATAAAACGGTCTATTAAGATGAAAGTAAAAGCAAAGCTTTTAAAGAAGCTTTAACTTAAGATTATATTAGCCGCTATCTACTTTTATAATATAACACCGAGAGCGAAGAGCTTTATAAAGAATCCGAATGAAGTGCTACAGCTTTGATTTAAGTAATATTTTAAGTAATACGATTTAGCGATTTTTATACGGATCGATACCGATTTAAAACTAGATTGTGGCGGTTTGGTTGCGTATAGCGCTCGTACGTACTTAATAATTAAAGACCGAAAAGCTTTTCGTAATAAAAGAGCTTTTAAAGTTAAACCGAAAGGACATATAAGCTACTTAGTTAGATATATAGCTTTTAATATATATAAAGTTTATGTTCTCGTGCTTTATAAAGTGATTGTCATACGCAACGTAACGTTCGATAAGACTTAATTCTATCTTAAAGACGAAGAAAAATCGATCGGCTAACCGATTAACGAAATTAAAAGCATCGTTATTAAATTAAAAGATATTAAAGACTTTAATTAAATAAAGGACGCTTTGTTTAATATAAAGAACGTTGCAGATGATCGCTTAAAAGAGACGAATGCAATTGATATAAAAAGTGAATAGCCGTTAAACTTTATAAAAGTTAACTTAAAAAGATCTAGTTAAAGCTTAAAAGATGCGACTTTATTTAATCCGAGCGATGCATAAACGTTAAGAGCTTTAACTTTAATTAAAGACTTTATAAATACGTTTATATTAAAAGCAATTGCTTTACGAAACGATTTAATAAACCTTGACGATTCGAACTATACCGCTAACCGTTTCGCTAGCTTTTTAGCTAAAAGCAAGAGCGAAAGTGCTTTAAGACTACTAGAAGCAAAAAAGAGCACCGTAAACGAGCAAAAACTTAGCTTTAATAAGAAAGCGCGCAAATTATACCTTTAAGTTGTTATTTAAAGCCGAGGCTCGGAAGGTTAAGTTATAAGCCGACTAACGAAAGCTTTTACGTCAACAACCGGCGGAGATTTAAACCGAACAATTAAAGAAGAGCTTTTAGACTTTTTTAAAGCGAGCATTAATAATAAGAAATTAAACTATAAACACTTTAAATAAAATTCCGACTTTAATGAAAAGCATTCACTTATTAATAGCTGTATTAGAAAACGCGCGAAGATATACGTAAGTGTTAGTAAGCTTCTTTTAAATAACTCTTTCGCTGATTCGAACCGTTATTCGCGCGTTTTAGATTTTATATCGACTTTTTAAGTTAATAACGATCTCGTGCGTAAAGATAATAAAGATTACGAGACATTATACGCTATCATAACAGCTGCTACTTCGTTTAAGCTATTATTAGAATAGCTTAACTCGCAAGAACGAAAACATCTAAAACCTTTTACTTATTAAAAAGAGCTATAACGATATTTATACGGCAAAGAGTTCAAGGACGGAGCTCTTATAAAGCTGAATAATCTAAAGAAAAGGAACTGCTAGAAAGTGATTCTCGAGAGCGAAGCTAAGTTAAAACCTATACTTTTTAAATAAGTATTTATATATAAGATTAGTTCGTCCGAAGAAATCGTAAAGTTTAGATCGAAGATTATAATTAAAAGCGACTTTTAAAACGAATCTATTATCTATTTAACTTACGCTGCTACGCTAGCAGCTAGATCGTTTAAGATAATAATAATTATAGCAGTCGAATTTAATTTAAAAGTAAAACAGTTCGACGTCGTTAACGCTTTTATTAACGTTATAAGACATACGGATAGCGTTTTAGTTACGTGTTATCTTTTTAACGGTTTTAAGTAAAAAAGTATGTTCGTAAAGGTCGATAGAGCTTTATATAGACTTAAAGACTCGTTAGCTTTATAGTATTTCGACTTTATAAGCATACTCGATAAATTAAAGCTTACTTTACTCGATAAAGAACCGTGTATTTTTACGAATCTAAACAAAACGGTCTTTATAGCGTTTTACGTAAACGATATTTAAGTTATATATTATCACTTTAATCTTTTTAAAGCGCAAGAGATTATTAACGATTTTAATAAAGCGTACGAGATCGAAGCGATAAAAGATATTAAATAATTTTTTAATATAAGAGTCGCTCGAAACCGTTAGCGAAAAACGCTAACGCTTATATACGACGCTTATATTGAAAAAATAGCTAAGAAATTCGAACTTACGAACGGACGCTGCTTAGCAACTTTATTACCGTTTTATAACTTAGTTAAAAATAAAAAGATAGCTTTGCGAAAGCAAGTAAAAGAGTACTAAGAAAAAGTTAGATCCGTGCTATATACAGCGATCATGCTACGCTTAAATGTAGCTTTTACAGCTTTTTAATTCTTTCATTTTAATATTAATTTAAGCGCGGAGCACTTCCGAGTTGTAAACTAGTGTTTGCGATATCTATTTAGTTCGCGCTTCAAAAGTATTTAATATAGCTAGTTTAGCAAATCAAAGCTAGTAATAGCCTTTAACGCTTTTTACGCCGATAACGAAGAGATAAAGCGATCTTTTTAAAAGTATATTGTGTTTTTGTTTAAGGGTGCGATCTTTTAAAAAGCTTTAAAGCAAGATATAATCACTATATTATTTATTAAAGCGGAGCTTCTTAGCATAGCCTTTATAATGAAAGAGATTATAACGCTCTAACGTTTTTTTAAAGAGCTGCACTTTCGTTTTGCGGCGCTTTAAGTAGTTTATTATAATAATCAATAAATAATAAAGCTTATAACTAATAAGAAAAAGCGTATCTTTACCAAGCTTCGCTACGTCGATATTTATAATATATAGCTGCGCTAAGAGCACTTTAAAAGGAGCTTTTAAGTTTAATATTTTTTTATTAAAAAGATGCACGCTAACGATTTTATTAAGAACTTGATTCGATAAAAGTTTAAGAGCTTTATTAAACTCTTGAATTTACAAGACGCTCGCGCGTTAGTCGAAAAGCTTTAATAGCACGCATGTGCTGTTCACTTATTATATTTTATTTTTTTTTTTATTTGCACGTAATTCAAAAGAAAATATTAATTTAGCAATCATAGCCGTTATTTTATTTTATCTTATACGCTTTTACTCTTCGTCTTCTTATAATAAAAGATCGACTAGAGCTTTTAGCAATTTCTTTACTTTAGCCCGGCGCTCCGCAAGAGTTATAGCAACGGCGGGCGCCGCCGCGAGAGCGGCAAGCGCAACGATTAGCGCAAAAGGAGCGACGATAATAAGTGCGACGAAAGCGACGAAAGCTGCGAGAGCGACGAAAGCAGCGAAGGCGACGAGAGCAATAAAGGCGGCAAGCGCAAGAGCTGCTATAGTAGCAGATTAAAGCCTTTGCATAAAGTCCGAGAAGAAGTTCTAGTTAAAAAGAGCTGCTTGGATTAGATTATTTCGAAAGTCAAAGAGCTTGACTTACGAAAGGGTGATATGCTCGAAGCGCTTCGAGTCATCGGACCACGGTTCGTTATTACAAAACTATTCAATCTAATAAAAGCTATATTCAAATTGAAAGTTTTAAGAGCAAGAGCAAAACCTATAAGGCTACCGAGACTACTTTTAAAACTTTCACTTTTATTTGCTAGATTGCCCGGACTACTAGCAGCACCTCTTGAAAAGGCAGCATTTAAAGCGAGCTGTTATCGCATAGTATTTCGAAGACTTCGGCGAACTTTTTGTATAGCACTATTATCTTTAACGCTTACGAAATTATCGAAAGCGGTGTTAGCAGCGGCAAAAGCAGCGGTGCAATTGCTATAACTACTTTTAATACACCGGAGATAGCGAATGACGCTCGTATCGCAATTATAATAGTTTTTATTAGACTTCGATATAATCTTATTATTAATATACTTGATGCACTTTAAAGCTTTAACGGTCGTTAGCATAAGCAAGCGCTTAGTAAAAAGGTCTAAAGGAAAGGGCGAAGCTTCGAAGGTAAGAGTGCGTAGTATAGCCGCCGTAGCCGCCGTAATTATAGCAGTAGCAATAGCTAAAGCAGAAAGAAGATTCTCTTAATAATTAGCATAGATATATTAATTTATTAAAAGCACTTACTCTTAGACGGCTTCGGCCGCGCTTAACGATTCTATTAAACTGAATTACTTGCTTAAAAAGCATTATATAGATGGATAAAGGTTGAGTGTTTGTTATAATAAAAAGGAACGCGCTTTTACTTATATAGCAACGCGATAAAGACGGCGTTAAAGACCTCCGCTACGTAATAAGACCGACTTAAGAAAGAATTGCATTCTTGACTAACACTCAATTAATAATAACAACCGCTATTTGTTTATTTAAACTGCGATGATAATCTTTTTTATTTACATCGAGTTTAAAGAGCTTAATCACTTATTTTTTTCTTTTCTATTTGCTTGCAGCTTAGCAGCTACGCTGCTAACTTAAAGGGTGTGTTATACGGAACAAGCATAGTTCTATTTAAGCTATATATAACATATCAAGTGACCTCGCTTAGTAGCGCCCTTGGCACACTAGAGCTCTTAGGTATATGTACATAGATCTTGACGAGCTTTTTAAAAAGAATAGACCAAGCTTTATTCAATTTACAGAATCTCTTCTTGATCTTAATGCTGGTAAGCACTATATAAAGCTATAAAAGAAGTACGAAAATACTACGCCGCGAAGCAAGTAAAAGACGCGCTTAAAAAAAAGAATAGACTAATTACGAAGCATACTTTAGACCTCTTTATTAATTCACAAGTACTCGTATAACGAGAAAACCAAAAGTAAAAGGTCTTTTTTCAACTGCTTAATAAGCAAAAGCATACGTGCACAATAGCATATCCGAGGCTTACGAAATTCAAGTCTACTTTTATAAAACCATACTACTTTAAAGTTAAAAAGCTGCTAAAAGAGTTGCAAGTATTAAAAGTAAAAGTAAAAGAAGATTAAAGCGAAAGTGAAAAAGAGCTAGAATCGCAACATTCGCTTAATCTACCGAGGTCGCTTAATTTAAAAAGCTCGTCAAGATTAGCAAATAGCCCTTTTAACCTTTAACTTATTAATTCTTAAAGATTAATAATACTAATAGTCTAGATACCTTATTAGAAATACGATTTTAGTATCTCGACCGTGCTCGACGAAAAGGAAAGCGATTTTTACGTTTTATTTACTAAAGATTCCGAAGTGTTTATTACCGATAAAAAACGCCGGGACTATAAGCTTTTAATTAAGTTGCGAGCCGAAAAGATCATCAAGAGCTTTAAAGCACTATTTCAAGAGTCTAAAGCAAAAGAATTAGCTAGATTAATAGCTTAAAGCATTGTAAACACCCTGCCTGATGGGGTACTTGCCATGGCCACTAGGGCTACACTAGACGGACCTATCTTCTATAAAAGGGCACACATCTCTTAGCTAAAACAATTAACGAGCTTTCTACTTACCTTTTTTAACACTTCTTTTGTAAGACTATAAAGTCTAGCCTTAAAGCCAGGCTTCTGTATAGTACATCTTTTTAAGTGCTTTTACATTAATAACTTACGCAAAGATTTAAACTTTTAGTCTTTGTCTTTATATAGCTTATTATAATCGCTTGATTCGCAGTCAAGTTGATCTTCGTTTATCATTTAGCACTTTACTTTATAATTATAATATTAAAACAATTAAAACTTTATTCTCGATAAGTTCGGACACCGAAACGCCGAAATAGCCGAAGTGCAATATTTCGGCTCTTCGGTAAAAACTCTTTTCTATTATTAATAAAAAAGAATTTTCATTCATTAATAAAAATATCTTTTTATACTTTAGCTCTTATCTTAAATTAAAGCAATTAATATAATCCGGAGTTGTTAACGAAGCTAATCAATTGATTTTTAAGTTTTTTATAGTTTTAATCTTAACTATTAGTTTACTTTTGTAAAGAATCTACTTTTTTTAATCTCGGATCGAGAATACTTTGCGAAAATCGCTTATTTTACTTATAAACCCGGTTCACGAGTTAAAATCAAACAATTCAAAAACCTTTTATTAACTTAATCTTTCTTAACATATATATATATCTGATCTTTAAAATACCGAAAACTTTCTTAAGATTTTTAATATCGAAGTCGGCGCAAAGTCACTTCTTTTTTCGTTAAAATCTTTTAAATTTATTAAATCTTTTAATCGTATTTTTATAAGCTTCGGACTATCCTTATCTTACTTCGACTTTCAACTTAAACTTTTACTGCTACTTCTATCGGAAACACTTACTTCGGAAATGCTTTTTAAAATGAACATCGGTCTTAAGATCTATATTATTCTTTTTCTTTTTATTCTTTTTGTCCTTTTACTAAGCCTTACGCTAATTATAATCGACTTTGCTATCTTTCACGCTTTTATAACTACTCGCATGCTATTGCTAAGTGCCTTAAGAGCTCTTTGCTTTAATAATGCTAATATCATCGACTTTATCAAGAAGTACGAAGAGATTTGTAATAATTTTAATATCTTTAAAAACGATCGGTTTATTAAGCTTTTTTATTATTGCGATAACCTTCGTAAAGAAGTTATTAAAAGCTTGCTCGAATAGAAAGCTAAAAAAGATTAAGCTGCTTTCGTTAAAGCTTTAAGAGTCGAGTTTCGTAAGAACGATACTTAGCAGATTAAAGACTCGGTCGCTTTTTTACGGGAATTTGCTATGCAAAAACGAGATATCAACGACTTAAAAAACTATTATCGCACTTTCTTTTAGGTCTTCGAAAAGCTTACTTTTATACACTTTTTAAGCAAGACCGAACAAAGCCGCTTATTCTTTTTCGAATTGCTCGTCGGAATCCGAAATAAAACAATTAAGCATTGCAAAGTCGACGAACTCGACTTAAACTCTTATGCCGCTTTCGACGACTTCGCTGCATTCGCTTTTAAAACCGACCAAAATGCTAAAATTATCGAAGCTATAAATCGAGAAAAGTCTTTTTTAGCTAACTTTATTAAAGATATTCGGACCTTAATTAAAAAACACATCGAATTAGCTAGCGTTCTTAAGTCTGTTAAAAAAGCCTTAATAATAATGCCGTTTATTCGTAAACTACGGTTCACGAATGAAAAAAAAGAAATTAATAAAGTAAATTCTATAATTAAAAAGTTTTTTAACTTATAAATTAATGCAATCTATAATCGAATTGATTACTTCGAAGATCAAGTCGCTAACTTAACTTCTCGACGCTTTATTTAATCTTAATTTTAAGTTCGATTCGAAAACCGCGACGAAGCTTTTATTAAGTATACCGCTTAAGATGCTCGAAGTAAAATTAGCTTCGGAAGTAAAGTTCAGATTGCTATTATCGGTTACGGACTATAAAAACGAAAAAGAAAAAGAAGTAAAAGATACGAAAACTAAATGCAAGATTATAGCTTTTGCGAAAACTTCGAAAACATAATTCAAGCTCTTTATTAATATTAAGATAAATGTAAAGCTTTTAAAGACATAATTAATAAAAAATGTATTTATATCAATAATTACAGACGCTTTTGCTTAAGACTTAAAAGGATCGGCGCTCTTATCATTTAGAAAAAGCAAAGAAAAACTTAATTTAAATTTATCGTTTTAAACGTTCGTAAAACGAAATACGACAACATCTTAAAAAATCGACTTACTAGCGGACTTAAGACTTATAAACACTTACTCTTTTATCAACAATTAATTTAATAGCTAGCTTAATACTAGCTCGATCAAAATGCTTAATAACTAACCAATTAACTAAAAGAGCTTACTATTATCCTTAAGAGACTAGTCGATATCAAAAACATCAACGCTATAAAATGAATTAATACGCTTAGCTACTTATTTAGCATAAAAGTTGTTTCGGTCGAGATCAACGCTATCGTAAAAGACAAAGCTAAAAAGTCTCTTTTACTTTCGGAAAGATCTAAGCTTATTAAGATTAAAAAGAATATCCGATAATAAAAAAAAAAGAACTACGGCACTTTTAAAGCTCGTGCTTCTTAAGAATCGAGTATTGCTATAAAAATAGACTTAAAAGACGGGTTATTCGATAGTGTAATTAAAGAAAAGTCTTTTAGACCTTTTAAACCAGTTAAAGCCGACGAAGCTATAAAAGATATAAAAAAAGAAGTTGAGATCACTTAGCGAATGCTAAAAAGAAAGAAGAAGAAGACTTACAAACGAAAGAAGTTCATTAACCTTTACGTTATTACTAAAGCTCAAGAAAAAGCAATAGCGGCGATTATAAAATCAAAAATCGAAGTTTAAATTAAAAACTTGTTCGGACTTAGCTTTCGCTTCGACAAGCTATTAAGCTATTACATTTTAATAGTTTTCGATATTAAGGAAAACGTAAAGGTCTTTTAAAGTAAGTTTATTCTTGTAAACGCTTTAATTATTAAACGTTTAAGTCGGAATGAAAAAGGCAAGCTAGACTTTTTAGCGACGCAAATTCATAAACAACTTATCGCTCGCAACTGCTTCGAAGTAGCGATAAAGACTTTAAAAGTTTTTATTAATATCGACGGTATAATTAAAAGCAAATCTTTTCTCGATAACGGATCTAAAATCAACGTAATAAACAAAAAAGTAGCTAAGATAACTAAACTATTTATTATAACGGATCGAGCTTTAATTTATATTATCGTGTCCGAAGATCTTTACAACTTCGATAAGTAGATAAACGACGTCGAAGTTATTATTAACGGAATTATTAACTACGCCGATTTCTTTATTATTAATAATAATAATCACGAAGTCATTTTAAGCATGCTTTTCTTCTTGGAATTTTAACTCTTCTTCTTTTACTTCGATAATAACACGATAAAAGCCTTTTTTTAAAACTACGATCGATTTACTTAAAGACAGATTACTATTGCAAAAGACAAGTCGGATTTAATCGAAGATTCGAGAAACTAATAACTAGCATACAAGTTAAAATGGATACTAAGCTAGAAAGAAGCTTAAAAGGAAATTCCGCCCGTGAATTATAGTTTACGAATAGATCGGCATAAAAATAATAAAATCATAAAAAAACAATTCAATTTAATATTAAATAAAGCTTATTAAAATCAAAAATATTAAAAATATTTATAATTAAACTCGATAAATCGGAAAATTTTATATTTATTATTAATAACGACAAAGACCTTTTAAGAAAGAATATGATAAAGGT